ATAATTTAAAACAATTTATGTAATTGAGTAATTCGTTTCGCAACATTCACATTTCCCAAATATTTGAAAATATGTTACATATATTGAAATACTAGTACAACTCCCGTGTATTACACGGGTGCTTGCTAATTTTTTTATAAAATCTTAAATTAATGAAAAAAAATAGTTAGAAAATTTAAATACCTTTTATAAATATATATATATATATATTATTATATATTTAGTATGACACTTTTTATTTGTGCGATTTTATATTATAATAATTTTTTTAACTTACAACATATAACTACATTAATCATAAATATATCAGTTGAGAAATAATTTTATTTTTCTAATGAATTTTAATAAATATAATTATTTTTATTATTATAAATATAAATATAATTTATTTATTTCAATATATACAATATGGATGTCAAATTGAAGATCATCAAAAGATGATTAATTTGTTATATTATATATGTAAACCCGGTAAGAAATACAAAAGTTATCAACTTTTAAAGTACATTTACAATTCAATAGCAAATTGAAAGAAATAAATCAAAAGTCAGGGATATATTAGTCACTTAGTGCCTCACTATATAAAATTACAAAGAATTAAAGGGTTATATTAGTACAAGTGATATTAAAATACTTAAGTTAGCTATATAATATTTATGGAATATCCGAACATGGATTATTAATTATTAATATATATCAATATTATTTGTCCAAATATAATTACGAAGCACGATTCTTCGCCAAATAGGATTCCGAAGTACCAGAAACAGCTACGTAGGCGATGCATTTGGAAATCGAGAATTATATATATGGAGGATTAGGTTAACAATATATCAATATATGGTCTGGGAACGGACAAATAAGTTTTAGTATATAGTTTATAATTTATAAAATTTATCTTGGAATATAATTAAAAAAAACATAGTATATATCTATAATGTTGGGGGCCAAATTAAATGGCCTAAAATTTGGGCTCTTGATTTAAATTATCTCCTTATAGTGTAGTGAAAGTGACCTGGTGAGCATATTCAACCAAAATTATTAATCACTATTTAAAACAGTGCCTTATTTTTATTTTTATTATTATTATTATTTTCTTGTTTTTCAGTGGA